AGGAGGAGGAAAAGGGAGGGAGGGAGGGAGAAGAGGGGGGGGGAGAAAGGGCAACGCAAATGAGAACGAGATCAAGTCAAACTGGACAGGAGGTGCAGGAGGAAGAGAAGGAGAGGACGAGGAGAGGGAGGAGGAGCAGCAGGAGGAGGAGGAGGAGGAAGAGGAGGAGGAAGAGGAAGAAATCATCAACAACAGGGAGGGATAAGAAAACAACAAGCGCAAAAAAAAGGAAGGAGAAGCAAAAGAAAGAAGATCAGAGGATGAACAACGAGGAGAAATACGACGAGGTGAGGGAGAAGGAAGAGGAAGAGAGTTATCACGCAAAACCTAGCTGAGAGGGAGAGGGAGCGAGAGAGGGAGGAGGAAATGGAGACGGAGGAAGAGAGATCAAGGACACCTAGGTGAAAGAGAGACAAGGGGGGGGGGGAGGAGGAGGGGGAGGAGAAGGAAGAGAAAGAGACCGAGGAAACCTGAAAGAATTGCTCGAGCAGAAGTGGAAAGAAGCGGAAGAAAAGGAGAAGGGAGGTGAAAAAACGAGAAGGAGACGGGTGAGGAGAAGAGGAAGGAGAAGAATGGTATCGACACGAAGAAGTGAAAAGTGAAACTTACTCCAGACAGCAATCTGTCCGTCCGCACCGATCCAAGGATCGAACACGTGACCTCCACGTTAAGAGGCAAACACTCAACCAAACGGCTAAGTGGACTGGGGTGAAAGTTAAGCCCCAAGAAGGGAGATGGAAAGAGAAGGCGGAGCTTAAGGAACACAAAAGGAAACGAGAAGAGAAACAGAAGGGAGATGAAAGGAGAGGGTGGAGGACAGACAACAAGGAGAAGAAGAAAAGGAAGAACGACGACGACGAGGAAGAGGAGCGAAGGGGGCGGAAGGGGGGGGAAGGGGGGAAAGAAGGAGGAAGACAAGGAAAAGAGGACAGCTGACAGTAGTGACAATTCAAACTTTTTTTTTTTTTTGTAATAACTCACCTCCGATGACGAATGAAGAAGCGAGTGGACAGACTGCTCCACTCCCGATCGAAAGATGTCGTACCCTCCATGATGCCATTGTCCGCTTTCGTTCTCAGGTCGGCGAAAGTAGCCATCGTCGTAATCGGCGGGATCATGCATCTCGGCGGGGTCTTTGGGAATTTGAAAGCCTTCTTGTTGTGCTGCCTTACCTTTCGGCGCCTCACCCGTTCCTGGGTCTCTTCCCGCTCCTAAGACTCTCCTGCCTCCACCTATCGTTGCCGTCAACATCAGTAACACAATCAATGACACTCGTCGAACTCGCGGCCATAGCCAGCTCCGTTCTGCCATCGTCATCTTCATTCACCTCCCTCCTCCTCCCTCCTCCCTTCTTCTTTGCCCCCCCCCCCCCCCCCCCCCCCCCCCCCCCCCCCCCCCCCCCCCCCCCCCCCCCCCCCCCCTCCCTCTCTTACTCCCTCCTCTCCTCTCCCGAATCAGCAGAGCCCGCCAACTCCAGTCCAATCAAATCACAGCAGAAAAATGTCAATCAAGAGTCCAATCAAATCACAGCAGAAAAATGTCAATCAAGAGTCCAATCAAATCACAGCAGAAATGTCAATCAAGAGTCCAATCAAATCACCGCAGAAATGCCAATCAAGAGACCAATAAAAAAAACGTGTCCAGGTATTCTTCCCGCGGTCATCGAGTCGATGAGAGATCAAATCGCCCCACTAATCATCCTGCTCGCGCATTTGAGGAGGTAATTAACACCGTCCCTCCCTCCCTCCCTCCCTCACTCCCTCACTCCCTCACTCACTCCCTTCCCTTTGGAGAAGAGGCCGAGCCCTAACCCTTCTCTCTCTCTCTCTCTCTCTCTCTCTCTCTCTCTTTCCTATCCCCGCTCCCTCCTCTCCGTCCGCCTCCTTGTTGCTTGCTTCCTGGTTTCTCTGCTTCTTCGACCTAAAATGCGACCAAATTCATGATCTATGCCTATTTTACAAACTGATAATTGATTGGACATCAACTTTCCGCCACGACAACGACTGCTCGTTTCTCCAAAGCACACTACATAGACAGACGGTGATTCTCAGCTTCTGTCACTTCCGCTCTCATATGCCCCCCCTCCGCTCTGCCCCACGTCCGCATCTTCCTCACCCACCACCTGACTGATCTCCGTCGACGTCCGCAATTGCCCGATCGATCGCTTGATTTGTCGATTAATCAATTAAGAAATTGAATGAATGATTGCTTGATTGCTTGGCTGATTAGTCAGCTGAAGTACGGGCGGGCCAGCCTCGCTGGCATTCCGCCGGATTTCCGCCACATCGGGGGCGCGACACGACACCTGGACAGCCCCGATCACCCGACCGACGGGGGGACTGGACCGAACTACGGCAGCTTACTGGCGCGGAGGACAACTTGCCACCTCCGCTACCGCCGCGCCCATCAGGCAGTGACAGGACCCTGGCCTCCGACACGGCCCACTGCCCGCAATTCGTAACTGGCTCTTAGGCCTCGCCCTGAGGCTTGGTCCTCGGCCCGGTTCTGAGGCTCGGTCATTACGCCCGGTCGTGAGGCTCGGCCCTTAGACCCCGTCGTGAGGCCGGTCGTGAGGCCGGTCGTGAGGCCGGTCGTGAGGCTCGGTCCATAGGCTACGGCCCTTAAGCTACGGCCCTTAGGCCCCGTTGTGAAGCCGGTAGTGAGGCCGGTCGTGAGGCTCGGTCCATAGGCTATAGGCCGGGTCGTGAGGCTCGGTCCATAGGCTATAGGCCCGCTCTTGAACCGCTACCTTCTTCCCCTTTTGTAAACGAATACCAGGCATACCGTGCGTTGTTGTTGTTTTTCTTTTTTTTTTTTTTTTTTTTTTTTTTTTTTGGAAAGTTGTCCATGTATTACCAATCGGATGGAAAAGAGGCCGGGGACCTCACAATTCAACCCGGGAGAACTGCTGGGGCCATTACCCAGATTCGGCTAATACTGGAAACGGGGTCCAGCGTCCCCTGATAAAACCCATCCTACGTCTATTTTTCCAAGAAAAGTTGAACTCTGAAGCATAGAAAAGCTGGTAGATGCTAAAACCATCCCCAGAATGTGACTAATTCAAAATTTAAACATTCTGCACCAAGCCACTCTGTCTAGCAACAGGGATAGTTAAGGCTACCCTATATACTATCTGAATACCCCATCTGGTGGCCACCGCCGGATCGCTCATTTATTCAGTTCTTAGCCACCTCGGCAATGTCAGCTTGCGGTCTGTGGAGATTACTGCAAGTTGATGACCGTTAGCCCATGTCCTCAGGAACCAGAGATATCCTTTCCTTCGACTCCTGAAGCTGGTATGCCAATCCGTCATGATCATATCTCTTAAATTGTTACGTACCTGCTGCTGTTGTTCCTGCAGAGTCACTTTTACCTTGTTGAAGACCATCGAGTTCCTGGCCCGCCAGATTTCTTGCAGAAGGACTCCTCTGCACACGAGAGCAACATAACCCCAGCCTGCTTTGCATGTTGAGCCTGGGATGGGCGGAACCCCATATAAGATCCATTCATCCGTCCACGGCCAGGCCGGCCCTGTAATAAGATTCCAATGATTGCGCCACCATACCCACACTTCCCTGGCCAAGGGGCAGGACAACCAGAGGTGGGAGTTTGATTCTCACCCCCAGTTGCATCTACTACAGAAAATCGGGATCTCCATGCCTCTTTTTGCCAGCCATAACGCAGAGGCAGTAACCATCAATGCCTGCAACCACAACAAGCTTGCCGCCTTCTGGGAAGGCATCAGAAGTAAGGCTGCCCAGAAGGCTAACCAATCTGGTTTCAAATTCATGCCTCCCTGCGCTTTTTCCAGTCGCCTGCTGGCCAGCTGCGTCGGCGATGACTTGATGGACGCCTGCATTATTTGCGAACCAATTTTGGTTTTATACTGTGGCAGCACTGATGACGCTACGCCAGGGGGGTTCCAGCTCTTGACCAATTTCTATCCTATACTGGTCCGCTGCCCCCAGCAATGTCGCCTTTTTCCTATCCAAACTCACGACTACTAGAGCTTGTTGCAGGTCCCTTGTAGACGAAACCGTTTTTTCAGTAAGGAAGGATAAAGGAGAACCTGTTTTGTCTGAGCCCTGGCCCAACTGAATTTTGACCATCCATTCTTGTACTCTCATACCTCCTGCCAGTTCTGGGACCAGGACTTTCCACAACCGTCCCCCTCCATCCTCTGCAAAGACCCAGGCTCCCGCCCCTTGTTCGGAGTCATGCCTTAACAGCTGGATCCAGTCCCTAGGAATTGCCTCTTTTAACTTATGAAGGTTCCTCTCCACATGGCGAAGGCGAGGAAGTTTAGTTCTCACTGTAGTTTCCGCCAACCAATCCCCTTCCTCCCCATCGCATATATGCTTTACCTGAAGAACACCTTTCTGAATCCATGATCTCCCGAAGTGCCCTCCCCCATCACCGGCAGAGAAGACCTCTCCATTTTGCTGTCCAATCAAACTGTTCTCAAATAGGAGTTGGTTCATGACCTCTTGCTTAGATACAGGCAGATTAGAATTCCGGGGTAGTAGTTTCCGCCATGCATATAAGATATCCCTCCAGACCCGAGACTGCGGTCTCCTATTAGCGAAAGATGGGAGTAGTAAGCTAAGCCACACATTATCGTCCTCCCGGAGGTCCCACTCCTTTCCCAAAATATATTCCGCCAGCCTAATCCAGAGCTTTGTGGGATTATCAAACATAGCCTTTACTGACCATTTAGCCAGTAGGGCTATGTTTTGATGTCGGGGGTCAAGGACACCCAAACCCCCCTGTTTACGAGGGAGAGCTATGGAATCCCAGGCTACTTTAGGTAGAAACCCTTTGCCTTCCTCCGCCACTGGTTTCCAAATGTATTTGGAAGCACATCTCTTAATCTGCGAATAGGCGTCGTCTCCCAATTTGACTATGGAAAGAGGAAACCACAGTATTGATAGCCCCGAGGCTGAGACCGCCAGCGCCCATCCAAATAAGGAGAGTTTATGATTCCGTTGCCAATGACTAATCCTTGCTGAAACCCTGTCCACCAACAATTGGTCCTGGGACTTAGAGCAGTTAGCAAGAGAAACCTGGACCCCCAAAAACCGTTCAGAGTTCTCTGTCGGGATCTGCCGTAAACCCCAGTTAACCTTCAAGTTAAAAGCTGGTGGTAGAAAGTAGACAGATTTTTGCCAATTTATAGATGCCTCAGATAGTACGCAGTAACTATCAATCACACCTTTAGGTTCTGTCAAAGCCACTATATTATTTTCACATGCAATTGTTAGATCATCAGCAATGGCTCCCCCTTTCCATTCCAACGAAGGTGAGAGGGAGAGACCTGTAATCCTTGAGTTATGTCGTATGTTGTCTAGTAACGTTTCTAGTTGCAGTACAAACAAAAGCGGAGCTAAGGGGCAACCCTGCCGGAGGGAACGAGTCAGGTGAAATTCATCAGACCGTCTGCTGTTCACTACCACCACAGATACAGCCTGAGAATACATAGCCCTGATCCATGTGCGAAAGCCTACGCCAAAGCCCATCCTGATCAAAGTAGTAGACACAAAGGCCCACCCTACTTTGTCGTAGGCTTTTTCCATGTCCAGGAGCATCACCGCTACCTCCCTTCTTTCTTTACCTATGATCTCTAATGCCTGAACCGCAGTTAGGATGTTTTCAAAGATAGATCTCCCTTTAACAAATGCCCCCTGCTCCCACCCCACAAGTTCAGGCAAGGCATCTGCTAACCTAAGGGCCAGAGCTTTCGCCAGGATTTTATAGGTCACATTCAACACTGAAATAGGCCTATAATTTCTTACATCCTTCTTGTCCCCTTTCTTGTACAACAAAGATATCATCCCTTTGACAAATCCCTTCGGGAGGGAACCCGTGTGCAGTGCATTATTGAAAATTCGACATAAGAAAGGGGCAAAGCCCCCCCACGCACTCATAAATAATTCAACCGGTAAGCCATCGATACCGGGGCATTTGCCTTGTGCCATTTGCTTTATCGCCCTACTCAGTTCCTGCTCCGTTAAGGGGGCATCTAATTCCTTTTTGACTGACTCTCGAATAGTGACCCAGGATCTATCCCAGAAGTCTGAGACTTCGGATAAATCAGTATCAAAACTATCAAATGGTCACCTGGTAGCCACTATATCTCGAAAGTAGTCTAGGGCATATTGACAAAGACCTACCGTGTCTGTGGCAACTGGCTCATTTAAAGCAAAAGGGTGTGAAAGCTCTCTCAGCAACGGTTTGGTTTGCCTGATGATCAGGGAACGGAAAGTAAGCTTGGTCATTCTATCATATCCGATTATGCCCCGAAGCCTCAGCCAATCTAACCATTCCGTTTGCCTTTGAGCTTCTACCTGCTCCATCTGAACTAAAGCCTCTTTCCTCCTCTCCGTCCAGTAAAAATCAGCAAATAGGTCTGTTCTCATTTCTGCCTCTGCTTTTTCAACTAACTTTCGAATTTGGCTCTCCTTCCAGTTCCTTTGAGTTGCCTTCATTCGCGAAAACTCTATTAAGGCAGCTCGAATAATTTGTATATCGACATCCGCCCATAATTCCTCATTTTGGAACAGATCCTTCGCGCTGTCCCACTTAACCATCTGATCAGATACCCAACCCGGTATACCTTTATCCTTCAGAAGATTAACATTCAATCTGAAGGGTGGTCTTTCCTTGGATACCAAATCTTTCGAGATAATGTCTATGAAAATAGGGTAGTGATCTGAAAGGGCTGATATATAATATTCCGAAGAACAGCATCTGTCCCACAGTGACCCCCTAACCACTATAAAGTCCAGTCTTCTACGTGGTACCGGGGCGCGTGGGTTTGGTCTGGGCCCATACGAGGTATACCCATTCAGATCAGGATTCATAGTTCTATAAGTATCAACTAGACTCTGCGACTCTAACAGACCTAAGAGTAAAGAAGAATCAGATCTAAGGGGAGAGAGTTTTGGGGAGTCCAGCCCGGGGCTAAGAATGGTATTCCAATCCCCCAATATAGCCAAGTTTTCTGTATCAGGAATAAAGGCGGGCAGAGCAGCAAAGAATTTTGTTCTTGCTATAAAATCTGTAGGTGCATACAAGGACATCACCGCCCAATCCTCATCATCAATCAACAGTTTTACCCAAACTAATCTTTCTGTAGGGTTTGAATAGTGGTAAAGGATAACACAGTCCAAATCTTTATGGACCAAGATGGTTGTCCCGCCCCTAGTTCCTTCTGCTGGGGCCCAAAACTGAGGACCATTCCACCAGTTGACAGCATCCTATATTTTTGTGTCATCTAGTTTTGTCTCCTGGAGACAGAGTATCTGGACCGATTCCTTATGCACCCACGAAAGGATTCTCTGTTTTTTATCTCTGTTCGTGGTATCTCCTATCCCTTTAACATTCCAACTGGCTAATCGAATTCTATTCGGGAGTACCATCAGTTAACGTTTTATGAGGTGGTTGTTCCTCTTCAATATCCCCACTAGGATGACTTTGTATAAAGTTATCGACTATCACTGACTGAATGGCCAGTGGGAGGCTCGTAAGGCCCACTCTAAATCGAAACTGTTGATCAGCCACAACAGTCAGAGAGTCCATCCTTTCCAGCCACTCGTGGATGGTCATCGCAGTATGTTCTCCTAATAACAAAATATCTGATAAAGCGTCTATATTAGGAGTGATAAATGCTTGTAGCAGGAACCAAAAGATTTTACGGGCGCACTTCTGTTCAAAGTCCTATTCGACAGATGCAATGCCCATAAACGCGATGTGCAAGAGCGCCTTCCCTTGATTGGGCAATGTCATCAGATGACGACCCATCTTGGGGGGGAAACTGAGGCACAAACCCTGGCATTACCCCACAGGAGCTGATTAACTAGACTTAAGGTCTGAGCCTCCGACGGAGCTTTAGGCGCTTTAAATATTAGAACACTTAACTGGTCTGACTCCGAGCGTTGTAGGCATATCAGAACCCCTTGCTGGGAGTCTGTGCAGATTAGAGGGACCGGAAACTCCTTCACCCGGTCCATCAGTATGTCAATTCTGTCAAGTGTGGCCATCGGAGCAGCCAATGAGAGAGATTTCCTTGCGGAACGCCTCGGCCTAAACCGTTTTTTTGATGTGGGATCCGCCAGTTGACGATCGCAGTGGGAGCCCTCATTTGGTTCAGCCCTCGTCACTGCTGCTGAACTATCTTCGAGACGGGCCTTCTTGCAGGGGGTTGAGGGTCCTGATAAATCCTCAAAGGATATTTCTCCTTCCCTAAATAAACCTGGGACCGCAAAGTCCAGATCGTATTCCAGCAAACCCCCTTCCTCGTCATCCTCAGAAAAATGAAAAATCGAGGTTGTGTCACTTCCCTTGATCCCAGGGGGGGAGGGCTCACCATCCCGTGGTTCCTCCTCTTTCTGATTATGAGTTGGGGAACGGGGGGGGAGGTCTTTCTCAAATGACGGCGAGGGATGCAACGGACCCTGAAACACAAAGGGTTCAGACAAATTCACCCTTGAGAATTTTAGTGGGGTTCCTTTCCGCTTTTTTATCGCATCGGAACCCTCCACCCCTTCTTGTGTCCCGTGATCCAAGATCCCGTTGTCATCCGTTTCTCCTTTCTCTGTACTCCGACTTCCTTTTACTTCCTCCCACATTTCGACCTCTTCGGTCTCTTTTTCCTCCCTCTCCTTATTCTCCTTTTCCTTCTCTTCCTCACTCTTTCTTGCCTCTTCTCTTCTTGTCTCCTCCACTCGAGCTTGTTCTTCCTTCCATTTTCTTTCTTCCCTCTCCTTCTCCTCCTTCTCCTCCTTCTCCTTTTTTTCCTCTTCCTCCCTCCTTCTTTTCTTTTCCTTCCTTGCCTCCTCCTCCCTCCTACTGATCTCTTCCCTTTTTTCCTTCTCCTCTCGAGCCTGATTCTCCCTCTGTTCTCTCTGTTCCCTCTCTTCCTCCCTCCTTCTTTCCTTATCCTTCCTTACCTCCTCCTCCCTCCTACTGGTCTCTTCCCTTCTTGCTTCCTCCTCTCGAACCTGCTTCTCCCTCTGTTCTCTCTGTTTTTTCTCTTCCTCCCTCCTTTCCTTTTCCTTTCTTGCCTCCTCCTCCCTCCTCCTGGTCTCTTCCCTTCTTGCCTCCTGCTCTCGAACCTGCTTCTCCCTCTGTTCTCTCTGCTCCCTCTCTTCCCTCTCCCTCTCCTCCTTCTCCTTCTCCGCTTTTGCCATCTCTTCTTCCCTCCTCCTTCTTTCCTCTTCCCTCCTTCGCTCTTCCTCTTGAAACTGCTTTTCCTTCCGTTTCATTGCTTCTTCTCTATTCTTTTCCTCCGCCTGTTTCCTCTCTTCCTCCTTTTTCGATAATCCTTTTTCACTTAGTGGAAACGTTTTTTCCTTATGCTTACTCTTCCCTCCTTTCCGCTTTACCACTTCCACCCATGTTCCCCCTAGCTCTTTCCTTGTGGCCTTATCCTTCTCTCCATCTTTCTCCCCCCAATCCTCATCCTCCCCGTTCTTCTCCACTTCCATCTCAGTGTCCTTACCCCGTAACTTCTGGTTAACAGGGCAGGCCGCATCCGTATCCTTATGAAAGTGACGACGACATTTCTGGCACCATGGTGTTTCGGCGCAAATGACATCTATCTTTACCAGGCCCTTGTCCTTCAAATCAATCTGGAGGCATTTTTTGTATCTCGTTTTTGCTGAAGGCGCCAGATCAAATCTGATGTTCCTCACATCAGGCTCTAGGGGGTCGTTGTATACAGGATAATCCTTAACGATAGTACCAAAGGCGTCCATCACAACTCCTTTAAGGAGCCCCAAAATTGACATCGGGACATCCAGACACCTAATCCAGAAGAATTTTAGGCTCATTGCATCTTTCCACTCTTGGAGTTGCTGCACGTTCATCCAAGGGCAGAAGGTAAGGACGTGTCTTCGATTGTCCAACTCGGCTATATCTCTTTCTTTTCTTAACATCCAATCTGAAATTGTTTTACCCGAGGCCACATATGTGGCCAAATTTTTGCCTTTGTTACAGAACGCTCCTCTTATCGGAGGTGAGTTCGGAACGCCGGCAGCGGCCCATGCATTTTCGTACATCCGAACAAGTCAGTTTTTAACATCCACCGGGAGGGTGGATGCTTCTTCGTTAAAGAAAATAGAAATTGCATGGTCGGCAAGCCAATCTGATTGGACGTCAAATACATTTTGGTCAACAGTCACTTTCACAAAATCATCGCATGACTCCACTATTCCGGGAGCCAGTTGATTGGGTAACACGCCTTCGATAAAGCATTTGGACAACAAGTCCCGGATACGTTGTTTCCCCTCCCCTAATATCGGGTTAGTGACGGACACGTCCATTTGCGGGACAGTGCTTGCGGAAGCCAATTCAACAAAACGTGTCGGTTCCCCTGTGCAAATCGAAGAGCCTAAAACACCAAAGCACTCAACTATACTAACTAATATTAATGGTAATAATAACCAATGCAACACATAAATAAAGCATTCGTTACTTAGTTGCGGATAGGATAGTACCAATCCGGGTCCGTCCATAAATGATCAAGTAATAGCTGTAAAACCTCCACATTCGGACTGCTTGACCCGAATAAATTCCCTTGACCACGGTTTCCTGCTATCATACGACTTGTGAACTTCTTCCTTCCCCCAAAGGAACCTTCCACAACCAGACCACTCCAAACTGGCATGACCGTCCAGATTACCTAGCGTTGGTCTTCCCTTGACTTCCAAGTACGCAATACCAGACTTGATGAATATCTTCGACTCTTGAATAAACATTATGACGAAGAGCGACCACTCGTAATAATCCAATGCCATAGCGAAGGTCCTCACCAAACACGGTGCGACGGCGTTCCCATAGTCTTCATTACACTCCAAAGGGCTGACTGTCGCCCTGGTGTTGTCACCACGAACTATCGTTCGTCCCCATCCAGACCGTACTGGAATCCGTTCTCCGCGCCTTCTCCCCCTCACGCTGTCAGAGAACAGCTCCCTCTTTCCTTTCTGGACCTAGTCCAGAATCCCCCCCACGTACGTTCTCGGAACATGAAAAATGACAAGAAAGAAGCAGCTTCATTCTCTCCCGACGCGATGGCTTAACCGGTCCATGCCTTGCGACACGGACCGGTACCTTCCCGCGGCCCTACGCCCGCTGCCCCCCGCCGCTAACGCATCGCCCATTGGACCATTTCTCGATTTATGCGTGTCATCCTTGCGCAGGGGCCCGTGCGTTTTGTTTTCGTTTACAACGCATATGCGTTATCTGCAGCAACTCTTTGGACACAAGGGGGCCGGGTCCAGTTTGAATAGGCTCAGTTCTGGCCCGTCGGGGAGGGTCTGAAAAAGACATGGTGTTGTATCTTTCCATGTTCTGGCCAAGGATTCATCCTCCTTTCCCCACCGGCCTTGCTCCACTCCTCACCAAACTTGCCAAAATGAGAATGAATCTTCTGCTTGAACATGGAAAGATACAACGCTCTATTCTCTGTCGAGTAGTGGAGCCAGGCCTGGCGGAGTGAGGCGCGTCCCTCCTGGTTTATCGTTGCCCCCGCTTTCCTGGCGCTTGGCACTTTACGCTTCACACTGCCACCGCTGCCACTTTCTTGGCGCTTTGCGCATCCCTCCTGGCTTCGCGCTGCCCCCCTGCAGGAGCCAGGGCGAATAAAAATCATGTGCATTCTAATCGAATAAAACAGTTTTTCTTATCCAAATTCGATTAGAACGCACATGATTTTTATTCGAATACAAAGCATATGCGTTGTATTCAAAGTGCCCTTCTATTTGAGAAAAAGGTACAAAGTTTCAAAAAAACGGTTTTTTGGGAAAACTCGAACACAATGCATATGCATTATGTTCAGGGGAAGAAGGTAGTACACGGCCCCCACCTTGCAATCCGAAACTTGTAGCCACAAGAAAACGAGGTCGAACGTCAAACGTAGGGTCTGGCGTTGATAAGTAGTATGGGCGGTCCCTTTTCCGTTTCACTCTTCCGAGATTTGAGGTGTCAGGCCCACGGCTGTGTACTGGTGCTTTGAGACTCGATCGTGAAGCTCGGTCCATTTCCCTGGTCGCGAGGCTGGGTCCATAGGTCGGTCCATCGGTGGTCCATTGATGGTCGTGAGGCTGGCCCCATAGGCCCAGTTGTGAGGCTGGTTCCATAGGTAGGCCCAGTCATGAAGCGGTAGATAGGCCCGATTGTGAGGCTCGGTCCATAGGCTTGGCCATTAATTCAAGCACCACCATCGCTCCATCCACAGCGGGGTTGGGCTGTCCATGCCAAATTTTGCTTACGTCCAGGCACGGAAAAAGCCTCTCTGAGCCAGTTTAGGACAACGCATAGTTAGGCTTCGTCCTGACTACAATACATCATCAGAGCCCTTGCAATAAACTGGGCGGCCACAAGTGCTTGCTTTATTGCAGTGGAACGAACCTTGTTACATACAAAGAACCATAACGTGTTTGAAGGGCGAGAGCTTCCATAACCTTTGAACTATTGAACTAGATGACTTTGAAGGCATGGAGAACACAACCTTAAGGAGGGTAGATGGCGGCGGGCAGAGGGGGATAGGAAGGCCCCAAACCAAATGCCATAGCATGGAGGCACAATTTTGGTTTTATACTTGTGTTGAGATCCTCTACAAACCAATAAGTCACCAATGAGTACAATCGAACCTATGTTGTGAAACAGGAAATTTTCCCATCGTGTATCATACTTGGCAGGTGGCCTCCTTATGCACAACCACATGTTTCAGAGGAATAGTATTTGCACTGGTGGTATAAAGACCAAAAGTTCAACCCCGGGCAAACCTGCACAATGAACCCCTCCTCACACATCTTCAAACCACCCATGTGTTTCCAAGCTTTGTTTTTTTTTTATATATATAAATAAAACCAAGCACATTTACCAAGCTTTGTTCCATCAGTACCTTTCCAATATGTTGGTCGCAGGCACTACGCGCTAGCCCGAAAATCAAGACTGGCCCCCGATTCAATTTATCGACGTCCGCCCTTCAGTTTCAAGCCAGCGCGTTAACCGATGCGCCTCTGATAAAATAGTTGGGAAAGGTATTGGTGGTGTAGTACGCTAACGATCAACTTTCAGTACGCACACAATTTTCTTCGCAGTCGATAGTGTGCTTAAAACAGGTTTGAGTATGTTTACGTGGTTCATGTTTCTTGTTGGCCCCTCATCTTTTGAAATACCTTTTGTGATTGCATATTAGTTCAAGTTGTAATATATGAAGGACGTTTTGGCAACTTGTGGATGATTTTTAAAAAGATTGTTTGTGAAAGATTCCGAACGCTGATTTCGGCAGTTAGGACGCACCTTAGCAGGGGCCTGGACCCACTAGCAAGGTATTCTACCACGCCGTTCAGGATTTCGATCACGTGTGGCATCGAGTGACTCAGTACGGCCGTCGAATAGATCGGATCTCGACGGCCTGGTAGTTTCCGAGTGGGGACTGTAAAGATGCCCACCTCCCATACAATGAGATGCATCGAAAAAAAAAAAAAAAAAACGAAGTTGGACTAACTTGGACATGATAGCTTGTGGCTTTGCGTGGGCGGGAAGTCAAGATTTTATGGGCTCCAAAGGGGGGGGCTTGATTTTCAGACTTCGGTTTTTTTTTTTTTTTGGCTCTGAGAAATAGAACTTGAAATGTGAAATTCGAATATTGTGGTGCATCTGACAGGAACGCTTCTGCATCTGTCGGATGGTCTGCTAAAGGCATCATGAGATACATCGCGAGGAATGTATCCCAATACTCGTTACTTGTTCATCCTCGTGAATGTGTTCGTGGACACATTTTATTGCCACGGTACATCACTATGAAGACTTACGTGAAGGAGATTGTACCAACCCATGAATTGGGGTGCACAGTTGTTCTTCATAGTTTTCTGTCCTATTTCAGTTCATTTTAAATCAGAAAAAGATCCATTCATGCAAATAAAAAATCACTTTGTAGTTTTCAAAAAACCATAAAACTGTGTCACACGTCGTAGAATACTTCGCTAGTGGGTCCAGACCCCAGGTGCAAATAAAAGATACCGTGTATTTTTTTATATTTTTTATTCGAAATTTTACATGGTCCGGTGGAAAATTTAGGCGTGACGATCATGTTGTTCGACTTTTGAATTTAAAATCTATGTACAGTGCGGGGTAATCCGCACACGCAACTTGGGATTAAAAAAAAAAAAATTATGACTTTTATTAGCATAGGATTTCGGGCTTGTTGTCTTTGACTCGGACGTGGATGTAACATAACTTTGCTTTTTGCTTGCACGCGCATTCTTATACGTTCTCTTTCCTCACGCCTTTATTATATTTTTAACAGTCAACCGACCATCCCTTTGTTTTTGATTTATAATGTGTAACTGTATATTATTTCCCTCTGTTTTCTGTGGTTGGATCCGTGATCGTGGCTTCCCTCATTTCCAATTTGAAGAGCGTCGATAGCCTAAAATAGAAAGGAAATGGAAAACATTCCGAGTAGGGTTGTAGGGCTGCAGCCTAGACTGGGGCGTTTCGCTCCCCCCTTGTTATTGCTATGCAACACGTGCTCGTGGGTAATGGTCTTCGTTTCATAAAAACAACACATAAGGCTCTGTCTATGGTTTGTGTACTTGCCACTTTTCATTCACTCCCATCCATGATCAGCTAAAGGTAGGCGATCGACTTGGGGTGTCAAGTTCGAGCTATGGAGGTAGGTCGATCTTGCCTTTTGATCTTTGGTCGGCGAGAGCACCCGGCCAATTTAAGCATATAACTAAGAGGAGGAAGAGAAACCAACAAGGATTCCCTTGATAG